GCAGTCACCTGTTGAATTCCCCTCTCCCCACCCCGGCCCCGCCCCTCTCCGCGTGGCTCGGCCGGGCGCACGCCCGTGACTTATGGCCCGCGACGCACGACGCGGCCGGCCGGAGACGTGCGCCGTGACGCCTTTTCACGCCCATGCGTCGCCCTTGAATAGCCGGAGAATAGGCGCGCGCGGGCCCGTCCTCACGCCCCGGCCGCCGCCCCCTCCCCCTCCCGCGCCTATTTTTCGTGGGCGGATTGTGTTCTGGGATAGTTTCAGAATCGTGCAGCTCTGAGAATGAAGTGGAGGATACTCCTCACTTCATAAATGCGTGGCAGGGTTTCTCAGTGCCTGTGAGGCCCTGTCTTCTCCGTTCTCTTGTTCTCTGCGCTCTCTTAGCTTTCGCTCGTTATTAAAGAAACTCGGCATCGCTTACATATGTATTAAGTACGCGTTATGTAGTTGAAGTTCTATTGCAAAAAATGTCACCCATATATCACTTTTCCTCGTGCGCTCTTATGTCGCCAGTATGAACATTCTTTACTGGTGGCAAGGTAATGTATTAATAGAAAATTCGGAGCAATTTATTACTGTATTATGATTACATACGTGGTAACAGCTGGGCGCAGTTATTTTTACTTCTTAAGAAAATTTAAATTATATTATATCTACACTGTACATCGTCCCCAGTCTGTTATGATGACTTTTGCGAAAATGTCTTAATTGCCTGAAGTGCTTTCTGGATAATTTTGCCATCTTGATTTCAAATAAATAGCAAACGTATCATATCGTCATTACAGTTATTACTGTTTTAGAAACAACCCTCATAAAACGTCTCGGAGGTTCCCAAAATTGCATAAACTTATGTTTCCCAGCGAAGTTTTTATTCGACGAATGGGCTCCCACTTATAAAAATTGACATAGTGAGTGAGTGGTATACTGATATTATGTTATGTGATGTTGACAAGAGTTGTGTGCATTATTTTCAATTTTCAAGAGCGTATATTTATGTTAAGTTGGTACCACCAAATTCCTGAGGATCTAATATAGAACTTGAATATGTGCAAATTGTAAATACGGGTACTTGGGGGTTAAAGGCTTTCTGTATAACTTTATGTCTATTCTTAATGTGTGAAGACCTTAAACTGTATTCGCATATGCTATATTATTCCATCTCACTGCAATGACCGTGTTTCTGCAAAGGTGGCTAGGGATAGTTCAATTAAGTCCCAGACGGTGTGACTTTGATAACGACGCAACGGTTTCAAGTCACTTAACATTCTAGGTAGCAAGTCGTTGAAGTTGACGACTAAATTAACATTCATTGCGCGCTATCTCGGACTTCATAACTCTGCAGCCGCTCGCGTGAGTTCGTATGTTGCTAAAGTTGGCTCACACTTTGAGTGCGGCTCGACTTGAGTAATTGCTGGGAGTTTACATCATGAGTTCTTACAGTTTTCTGTCTCACATCTGACACGCACCTTCTATTGTTTTGTGAAGTAACGCCGCATACTATTGTAAAAGAACTTCTCATGCAGTAAAATATTGAATCTGGCATAAGGTGTAGCAGTCTTGCAGCTATTGTTGCTTTAGTTATAAATTGTAAGAACTTCATTCACAATCAATCATATGAAAGTAAATTATTTTTAAAGGAGAGTTGAGTGGTATAGACATTAGAGGTTGTTTCAAGCTTGTTTATTTTAATTACACTTACAACATATTGTTTTATATTTTGAATAGTGAGATAAATATGAGATTGCTTACGATTTGGTTTTGCATGGAGAAGTAAAACTTCACTGCCTTTTGGGCGTTAAGATATTAGAAGGAAACATCTCTGATGACGTTTCATAAAAAATAAAATATCACTAACTACATACTTATAAATCACGCTCCAGTGTTAAGAGAAACTGTTGAGGGTATCAAACCGGCATCATAGAGATAAAAAAGAAAAATACAATAATATTTTCGCCGAAATCAATGTACCATTTCAACTTAAGTGATTTATATTCAACAAAAATATATCAGCTTTTATCTGACTTGGGCGATGCTCGTTCACAACTTTTACGTTGACGAGAATGACGTTAGGCAACGTTTATTTTCAGATAAACGATTATTTTGAGATGAACTACGCGGTAGTATCGCTGAAAAATGTGGTAGAGCAATGCCAGCCAAAGTCTCATGCAAAAAATTGTGATGTTCTGTGATAAAACAAAAACATTTTTTAAAGAAACTTACAACAACGTAACATTCTCATTGGAGTCAGCACGTACCCTGGAATTGTTGCTTTAGTTATGGATTGAAATAACTTTATATACAAACAGCCACATAAATGATAAGTTATTTGAAAGCATAGTGTAATATTGTGGGTGATCTGGGCTGTCCGGGTGACGCCGCGTCGAAACGTCGGCAACACAGCCTTCGACGCGGCATCACCCGGACAGCCCAGATCACCCACATGACTCTGGCCGCGAAAGCCTACGACTTCATAGTGTAATATTATTTACAGACCATCAATGGTGTGTATCATTGTGATTCAATCTGTTGTTTTTTTGTCGGCGCCAGGTGAGCACACCATCCGCAACTACCCGGCCACGGTGCACGGGGCGTTCCTGAGCGGGCTGCGCGAGGGCGGGCGCATCTCGGACCAGTTCATCGCTGCCTATCGCGCGCCGCCCGTCGGCGCGGGACTCCGGGCCGGCGGCCGCCCGGGCGCCCCGCCGCCCGGGCCCGCCGCGCCCCGGCGCCGCCGCGCACCGCCCCCGCGCCCGCCGGCGCGCCCGCCGCCGCGGCAGCCGGCGCCTGACGCGGGGCTGCGGCCGCCGCCGCCGCCGCCCGCCGCGCGCGCACCGTGCCGCGGTCGCCGCGCCCTGAGCCACCAGGTGAGACAGCGTACGCCGCCTCACTCCATGACTGTGAGAGCATAGACTTCCGTGGCCGGAGTCTGCAGCTACTTGGCTGTCCGAGAGACCTAGGCACAGGTGCCAACGTTTCGGCCGCCAATCTGCGACCTTCTTCAGGGCGATATGCCGGATGCCAAGAAGACTGAGGAAGAATGTCAGCAGAAACGTTGGTACCTACGGTGCGACATCTCCCAGACAGCCGAGCAGTTGCTTGCTCCCGGCGCGAAAGCCTACGCTCTCACTTCACTTTCTTTCTCTACCTCCTCCTACTATTCAACTGCTTCTTTCCGTCTTTTTCCCTTCATTCCATTTTTATTCCTACCATTCTTCTTGTTCTTTTCTTACTGTCTCTTTACTTATATTCCTTCTTTTTTATTCTTTCCTTTGTACTTCTCACCACCTTTGATTTTTCAAATTCTCATTTCCTTTCATAATTTATCTCCTGTCGATTTCTCTTGAGCCAATCGAGTTGCTGGTGAATCGATTCGGACGCGCGTTTCAAACACGTCGGGTTGACTACTTCCTTCTTCCCTCTCTATTTCTGCCATGTTTCTTCCCATTCTTTTCTTATTTCTGTATTCTGCATTTTTTCTCTTTTTCTGTTTTTCTCTTCCCTTGTATTTTCAACGATGTTTATTCTTTAAATAATAGTCATTAATCTCGTTCTACCACAGTTTTTTTCTTTTTTGTTCATTGGCCTTTCTCGTAGCATTTTATTTTCTTATATTTGTGTTTCACTTCTCAATCTATTTGTTGCCTTTAATCTCACTTTCGTTTGTTTCTTTTCATTGTGTTTTAAAAGAAGCAGATTATAATGTAAATTGAATATTTTCTTATGGAATTTACTACTGTTCTTATTGTTATATTTAAAAGAAATAATACTTATTTGCCGAAATACCAGAGATTCTCCATAAAAAGGGGAAATAATATATCACTTGTCAGACAATAACTTCGTTGGATGGAATGAAAACAATCACTAACATGTAAAAGATCATTCTTTTGTGCATCAGTCTCAGAATTTCAGAACGCTGGCTTCCTTTTTTAATATCAAATACAGGTTCTTTCAATGCGTTGCTTGAAAGTTCAGAAATAATCCTTTTGGACCTTAAATATGATGTGAAACATTCTTAAAATTCACGTACCTCTCTTTGGACTAATGTCATCAAACAAAATTAAAAATAAACATAAATATAACAACATATCAAATATTTTTAGTCATTTCATTAAAGTAGTGTCCTTAATTTTTATGGCAATAGTGTGATCATTAATCCTAACACAATTTGCTTTCTGAAACGTTTAGTGGGGTTTTCATATACATTGTTAATACTAATGTGAAGGGAAGAGCTTGATTTAGTAGTAAAGAAAACAAGTATTCCTTTGTGATTCGAATTCTTTCTTTCAAAAATTATTTTGATATATTTTTTGTAGTTATGATTATGATGATATAATAATGTAATGAGGATCATTTGCATTTGGAAAAAATTTAACTTCTTCAGTTTCAGGTACCAATTTCACAAGAGGTTCCACATCTTCATCAACCTACCATGCCTTCAGTGTCATCAATGTTGTAACAATGTAACGTGTCCAAGTGCAATGAACATGATCTCAGTGAATCTTCACTCATTGTTCATTTCTATCACATTCTAAATACTTCTTGATATTGCCTTCTGAATCAGTACAACCCATAGTATAGAAGTAAGTTGATATAAGTAGGAATTTATTTTCCAGATCCATAATATGATATTTAAGCAGCTAGAATGTGTGTTTGATGATTGTGCAACAGAGTAATTTCTTGATTAATGTATTGCACAGCACTTTTCAAGCACGTTTTGTAGCATTTTTTATTACTAGAACATCATTTCCAATTTTTTAATATTTCCTCAGTCTCTAGTTTTTTACTATTTTATTAGCAAATAAGTATTTTCCTGTAATGATTTTTTGTACCAAGTGTGTGATAGCATTGGTTATGAAAGTGAACCTTAAATTGCAATTTTACATGAATGATTGATTCATGCATACTCTCATAAAAATAACATAAGTAGTATTGGTTTAGTTAATTGAACTTATCATATTGAATGGTACATGTTGCCTTAGCAATGTTTTAATTTGTAGTGTACCTGTGTTCATGTAGTTTGTGGAAGGGGACTGATATTCCAGTCACATGAATGTGTTCATTTTAATTTTGTTTGCTTGTTTTGTTCTGCTTTAATAAATATTCCATGTGCAGCCAAAAGAAGTGTTTTATTATTTATTACCGGAGACAAAAATAAATTTAATGATGCAATAAGATTGCAGTTTCCTTACTCCATTGTCCTCTCAAATAAATATTATGAAAATAACAGAGATATTTCATTTTTGTTAATTTTTTATTGAAACATTCAAATATAGAGCAGTAAGAAATCTGTTATGTGCTACTGTTCTGCACTTTCATTAAGTAGAAATATTTTGCCATTTTCACCTGTAATAGCTGTTTAAAAAATAAGAACAGGAAGAAACAGTCAGCTTATTGGACAACTGAACTTTCTTTCACTAAGATAATCATCTTTCTCATTAAAAAAACGCTTGTCATAACTTTCCTTTCGCAATATCTAAGTCATATATTACCCAGAAGGGAATGCAGGGAGGAATAAGCTGCAAAATTACAAAATACCTTTTAAAGAAAATATTATATTGTATACAAAGTTTACAAATTTTAAATTATAGTCCTGCAAGATATTGTAAATGTTATTTATCAAAGGCTACAGGGCATGCAACTCTCATTCAGGTTCATTTGTTATTCTTTTTTTAATAATTTTTGCAAATAAATCAATTGTAAAATTTAATTTAAATGCCTGTTTTGAAGTTAAAATTTTCATCATGTGTGTCCAATACTGAATATACCATAAAAATAAAAAAAAATCTACAATAAACAAATGAATGGTGGTAGCTACATTGAAAAAAAAAGTTATTTTTAATAGCAAATATTACTTGAATTGTTTAGTAAGTCATAATCGAATTTGGAAGAAAAAAAAGGAGCTTTTAAAGTAATTTTCTTAAGTCGGAGAAAAATATTTTCAACACTTCAGGTGCATTATTTTTTCTATTCTACTGAGGGAGAACTCGCAAACCCCTTTCAATTAAACGCGGGTATTAGTATTTTCTTTGAATAAGAACCGCGCAGCAAATGTTTTCAAATTCCCAGCTATATTAGTTCCATCGGCCGCCAGAAGATGTCGTTCCGGATATCCAAATCTTCTCTGGGCAGCATTAGTGTACCGACGTCCGGTGTGTACGGTGTGCGCGTAATGTATTTAGCGTTGTGAATTGACTCAAAAGCCACCGCGTGCTACCTGTCTGCAGCCTGTGATACCGGGAGCAACGCCAACACCGAGCCAGCAATGGGCGAGCAGCGTGTCCCCGCAGTAATTGCGTGTCCCGCTCAGCCTAAGGTACAGTACCTGGTTCTTGTCCGAGTTAATAGCGTAATAAGCTATTATGTTCATGGTCCTTGGAGGTTAATATGTCCACGGCGCGGGCACAATGCTGAATAGTGCCGTGGAGCTGAGCGTTATTTAGGCTCTACACTGTTTTAGTGCTGCCCTACGATGTCGTTTATGGTAAATTATCTGGCAATTACATCCGCATACGGATTGTTTTCGTGATATTGTAGCGTAAGACTGCTAGCGATATTTCTGTCATAAACGCGAAGTCCTGAGAGAACAATCTACGTTCAAATGTCTACTGTGTTGATATTCATGCTATTTCTGGTTCAGCGGAAAGAAAATGTTCATTTTCAGCTATTATAATTTTTATTTAAATAGAATTAAGTTTTTTTCAGAGTACTGCATTCAGTACTATGTTAATAAGAATAATGCTTCAAAGAGAAATTATTAATAGCCAAACAATTCCGCCCTTATACTGAAGATCAGGACCAAAGGTGTCAAAAGATACATGCGAGAGCTACTTGCCCGCCTGGAAAATCGGGCGAAACCGCCCACGCCCACTCTTTGCTTTTTAATTGTATGTTTACGTATGTGAGTTACGCGTATTGCTCCCCCCCTCCCCCGCCCCCAAAGGTTCCCTCGTAAACACCCTTCGACCCCTCCCACCAAGTCCGGAGCGGCGCGAAAACTGCCGCGTTTTAAAACGGACTTTAAGTTGTATCGTATACTATGACTTCAGCGGCATACAACATTTTTGTTTTACCGGATGTTTTTCTATCAAACCACCGAGTTTAGAAATAATGTAGCTTCTGTTATTTTATTCTTAAATTCCACGTTTACTAATACTAATTTTTCGCAAGGACATTGGAATACGGTTGAAAGGACCCAAATGCTTTAACAATTTTCATTTCGTGTTGTTTTGTTAAATGATTAGTTGGTATACAGAGTGGACACTTTAAGTTGGCCACCGCAAACTTGAAAACGGTTTGAGATAGTCGAAGATGCTATTTGCACCATGGTGACAGATTGGAGCACCAATAGAGTTATATCTTCGTTTTCTTATTAGTACCGTATTGTAATTTTCAGAGATACTGAACACAGCTTTGGTGTTTTTAAGTTGAAGTAAATTATTTTTTCTTACGTCATATAAAGTTCGTGCAAAATTAAAATTCAGATGATATAAACAAACGTATTGATTGTTAATAGGTTCGATAAAATGAGTATTTTTTGCTAAAAAAACCTAGTGACGGGCGTGTGCAAACTAAGTGCAGTTTGCGTTAGTATAACGTCATCAATTCCTGGACATACGCGCAACTCCTAAGGATCAGTAACAGGTGTCCGTGTGTAGCAATTTATGTGAAAGCGCGGGCCCCAGGCCAACGCGATTCGACGGGGGAACACCACAGAAATTTTTTCGCGCGCTGGGAAGCTTTTGTGAGAGCACATGGGAGACTCGCTGAATCGTAAGATGAGTGAATTTCGGATGTGATGAAGTTTGAGTCTGCGGCGATGGTTTTCAAAACCTTTATATAAAACATGTTATTTTCAATATTGGTATGGCATATTCCTTTTTTATTTT